TTAAAAGTTAAATTATTTAAATATAATTGATAAACTAAAGCTTTTATTGTTTGTCATATTTTTTAGATAATTTTAATTGTCATTTTTTATTAGAACTAATGAAATTCAGTGAAATTTTCCATTTAAAGTATTGAATTCTAAAAATTAAACGGGGTGGGTGACATGTTACCCGTACCTACTCCGAATACCCAATTAAGCGGGTAATCCCCGCCCTATTCAGGGCGGGGCCTCCCGAATATCGGATTTGTCGTATTTTTTTGTCATTCCTATCAAGAAAGGCTTATGTGGCCCACATGCTAACATATTCCAATGGTGAATTTAGCCAGAAGCAAACCATATAATAACTCCGCAGAAACAGGATCTATTATAAAAGTTATATTTTCTAATTTTAAAAAAAATCATAATGACTCGACACTAAAGATATGAGATAGCATAATAGCATCTGAAAACCATTCACACAGCAAAAGAGATGGCCAAAATCTGGCTTCAAAACTATCACTGCATTGCATTTGGTTGACCAAAGGTTTTATCTCAGGCTCTAACACAGTCTTGTTCCATTCCCACATCAAGCTGATAATAGAACTTTTGGCATATAATGTTATATGATAAATAATATATCCTAACTACTTTGAGGAGCATTAATAGACGTCAATTGATACCAGAACAATGAAATGGGGCTACTGATTTGGGATTTACCCAACACTAACAAAGGGCTGCCACTGACCTAATTTACCTTCCTCAAATCAAAACTCATTGTCTCAAACTTGGTCTAGACTTCTTATAAGAACTAAATGAATTTCAGAATGAGGTTTTTGTCTGCACATCGAGGTACATCCACAACACCTCTCATCAAGGTACACTCTTTCAATCTTCAAACTAGTTGTATTAACCAATATTGTCCCTTCGCCGATTTGAGCACCTCCAGAATCATCAATTAAATACTTTTATGGACCATTCACCACCAAAGAACCATATAGACAAGAAAAAAAGGAAATCACATAAAGGTACAAAGACAAATTAGTCGAAAAACTCATTTCTAGAAATTTAAGTATTGGAACAAATATGTCATCGAATTGTCTCATTGTTAAGTTACATTAGACATTCCTTCAGGAACAACCACGGCTAACTCTCGAGAGATTGTAGAGCCTTCCATGCCTTGGCCATTTCCTCCTCATCCAGACGCCAAGTTTTTATTTTAATTTTTTTATAAAAAAAATTATTTTATATATAATGCAAAGTTACCGTTTCCTTTGTTAAAATTAATAAAAGTTGAAAAAAAAAGTTGAGTGGCCATGGTAAAATATTATATGAAATTTGGTGGCCATAGTGAAATGTTATATGAAATTAGATGGTCTTGATGAAATAAAATCAAATTAGGTGGCTATTGTGACAATAAATATAAAATTGAGTGGCTATGATAAAACAAAATTAAATTGAATGAGCATGATGACACCAAGTACAAAGTTTGGTGGCTACCAATGAATTTAATCCTTTTAAATGGGGAAATTTGTAGGTTGTCATTTTTCATATCCACAATGTTATATATCTATCACATTCTATATCAAACAATTTGAGTCTGCGTGGAATATATTTTTTTGTTTAAATATATGGTTGAAAATAAGTTTGAAAAAAAATTTGATTTAATGAATGTCAAATAGGGACTTAATTTTATATACATCAAAACTTATTTGTGTTTTTATATCATGAGATTTAAAGTACACTAAGATACATACAATTTGAAATGCAGGACAATAAAGTTTGTAAAGAAGGATTCATAAAATACCCGTGGAGCGTGGAAAAATTGAATCAAATGTCTTAAAATAGACGAACAATATACATTCATTAACAAACACATTTTGAGAATACACAACTTATAATAATTTGTCTACATGTATGATTTGGAGTTAAATCATACTAACAGGGTGTTTGACACCCATTTTTGTGAAAGAATGTGTTCTTGAATAGTGATTGATGGAAGAATGTGTGGTTAAAAAGTAATGAGAATTTTTGGGTTTATGTGTATTATTATTTTGATAGAATGTGTGGTCGAAATGAAGAAAGAGAAAAAAATGAAAGTGAGAATAAGAAAA